AATAATAATGAATAATCAATAAACAATAATCAAAAAATGTTAAAATGTTAGAAAAAAAGTAGAAGAAACTAAAAAGAATGCAAAAGATGTTTCCGAAAACCTAACGTTTATCAAGTATGTGCCAAAAATAGACGAGAGTAACCCATTTTAACGTTCGCTCCATGGAAAAGTGGTGCATTTGCCAAATATAATTTATGTTTGGACAGAGAAAATGTTCGAGTAAATTTATTGCAGCTATATGAACGTCATGTTTTACGTTTGTACTGGGTTTCATTTCATCTTGTGTTATTAAGTTTATTACTGGACAAATCGTTAATATTAAACGGAGCGCTGTTCGTCTGACATGTCAAATAAATTTTGTATTAGAGAAATTGTTTGAGGAATGAGTGATGAATTTTTATAAGATCTATGTTCAATGTTGTAATTGGGATGATGACAGAGTATGCAAATTAAAATACTAATTAGTCTGCAAGTTAGGTAATGAAAAAATATTAGACATGTACTTTTTTATTTTGTCGTATAATAAAACAATACTTAGATGAAACGAATAAAAGTTTAGGAGTGGCGGCTGAAACGTCATTTCTACGTATAAAATGTACATAGAAGTGACGTCACGCGACATTTCAAATCGTATCGTCGAAAGTATTCGTTTCTGTAAGAAAATAAAAAACATGTGTCTATTGGTAGATTATTTTAAACTAGCGACCCGCCCCGGCTTCGCACGGGTGCAATATGTATATACATACAAACCTTCCTTAAGAATCACTCTATCTATTAAAAAAAACCGCATCAAAATCCGTTGCGTAGTTTTAAAGATCTAAGCATACATACGGACATACAGCGAAAGCGACTTTGTTTTATACTATGTATTGATAATCTACCAGATGTACATCAAAACAAAAATTAGGCATCTACCCTATTATACTATACTTTTTATATTGATATTATAATTTAGAACTGAGCTCGAGATTTTGGTTCCAATTCTGGGAATGTTCAGTCTTCTGGCGAGTGGGATAGCATTTGTACCGTACACAAGATTTATTATTAAATTCTGGTATAAAATTTTTATGTTATAGTTTCAAAATTCTTATTAATAGCACATAGTTTAAAATTATGTTATATGTTTGTCCATTTTTACTAAAGTCAGGCTATAATAATTACTAAAACGAAAACTTGCGTTCATTGCCTAAGTATTTTTCATATACCTACTTTATCACCGGTTTTACAAAAGAATATTAACACAGCTTGAATTATAAAAATTAGTCTATATTAACTCGTCGAGTATCGTCATTATAAACACAATTATAGAACAATAGGTTGCGGTCACCGGTGACCGCTTGGTGTTTGAGAGTTTAAAACCGATATATCTAATGAGTTAATAAAGATTACTGGTTTCTAATAAACAAATAGAGCTGGCAATGACAGAGGCCAATGGCCTAATAATTGCAGTCTTGACATCGATTTGATGAACTAAAGATGATCGGACTGAAGAGTGCCAACTTGTCTTCATTGACAAATGTGTCCATTAGTGAACATTTATTTGTATCGTAATATGTAGTAGTAACTACTATTCTCTTATTAATGTAATTTAGTACATGTTTATTATTTTAGGACACATATAACACCACGCCTTTTATTCCCGAAGGGGTAGGCAGGAGTGCACATTAGGGCACTTAACGCAATGTAACACCCACTTTTTCACTATTTATGTTATGAGTACCATGTAATACCCGGGTAAGCCTATTGCCATATACCGGGCACCTTTCCAGACTCCGTTCTACTACTGAGATTTTAAAAAACTTAGTAATACTTTGCCCGACCCGAGAATCGAACCCGAGACCCCTTGCCTGGTAGTCGAACTCAGCCAATGTTGCAGTAATTATTTTATGAATTAATTACTAAACAAATCTATGTTAATTGATTAATTATTATGTATGATTTTACAGAAAAATGGAGCAAAACGGTGCCAATGATTTGCCTTACGTGGTAAGTAATTCTTAACAGATAATTTGTTATGCAAAATAATTTCATAAACTTTATTTCCATTATTATAAGAGTTATGGAAAGGGAAACGTCATAAAGTGTATACTGAAGGAAAATATTTGTATGGCTTAAATTAATGTTATTGGTTGTTATAAAAAAAGTAGTAAACACAATGTAGTATAACGACATCTATTGATTCTTATATGAACTTCTTGATATTCCCTTTGCTTCCCGTTGGTCCTTTAGTACGCCAAGTAGCCGCGTTATGATACCTATATCTACAACGTTTTAGTTCCTTTATAAACTGTCTAGATGGCGCCTGTAAACTGAATAATCGTAACAAAAATACTAATTATCTCACAAACCAATTTTAGGTTCACACTTCTGAAGAACTTGGTAAATATCTAGTCGCCTCACGGGACCTTACTCCAGGAGACTTGGTGCTGACTGAACGACCACTGGTCTTTGGTCCTAAAGGCATGCTGGACCCTGAGGAAGTTATGCCTTGCGTTGGCTGTTACAAACCAGTGTTGACTGAAGCTGGAGAGCGGTGTGCTAAGTGAGTTGTTTAATTTTACCATATTTCTACAAGCCTTATTGTAAGAATCTTTGCACACCTTTTTTTGTAGATGTCTTTTTAATTTTTTTCAATTTGCACAATAAGTTTTTAATACATTAGGAAAGCTGGGGTACAGGTTTCAATTATTATTATTTATTTAATTGAAGCAGGCAGTTAATACAACTGATAACAACTGAGTATTTAATTACATCTACAACCTACTTCATCTTAAAACTTTTCTAAGTAACATTCATGTTAACGTCAATGCAGAATTTTTTTGATAGAGATTTTACTTATCCATCAAAGTAGATAAGCCTATTTTTAAATTTAAAACACGAAAATTTGTTAGAAAGCATCTCACATTGATATGAAAAATAAGATTTGCGCATAAACTTTTTCACAGATGCGGATGGCCTGTCTGCTCAGGCAACTGTCCAGGATTAAAAGATCCAAGACATCACGCTGCAGAGTGCGAAATTCTCAGCCTGAGATCAGAATGTGCACTCAATGACATGGCTGACTACTATAGGTAATTATATTGAATAGTCTTTATCTATATAGAAATAGAGTACCTAATATACTAACTTTTTTGATGAAACCTTTAATAAGTGTCTTCCTTTTGAACTAGAAGACTTCGGAGTATGGGATTCTTATCACACTTAGACCCTCAAATTGTTACAAGCAAAATCAGCAGCTGGAGGTCATCGCATTCCCAAAATAAAACTAAGCAATACCTGTCTTTTCTAATTATATGTAACTTATTTTCAGGCACGATGCATTGCTTCCATTGAGGTGTGTGCTTCTACAGAAGACAGATCCTGAAGGTTGGAAGAATTTGCTTGAAATGCAATCGCATATGGAATGTCGAACTCCCGGAACAGAAGCTTATGAGTAAGTGAATTGTTTTAAAACTATTTATATCGATATGATTATAAAGTAAATGAAATCTAAATTATTAATGTAGACCATAAGAGAAACATGCCTAATCTATTCCGTTTACAATTACAGTGAGGCGAATGAATTCATCGTCGAATATCTAATGCACAACTTCGTGAGCAAACTCGATGAGAAACAGAAGAAAACCTATGAAATTACTGCAGAATTACTTCATAGAATATGTGGAATTATTGACACTAATGCTTTAGAAATTCGCTTACCACAAGGATCCGAACTGAATGCTTTATACGCAGAGACTTACAAAATGGAACATAGCTGTGTTCCTAATACAAAACATACTTTTAATCTTTCACCAAAAGATAGAAAAGATTTGTACAAAATAACTATTAAAGCTGTAGTACCAATAATAAAAGACAACCACATATCGACAATGTACAGCCACGCATTATGGGGAACTCAAGCTAGAAGACAGCATTTGAAAGACACAAAATTCTTCGCTTGCAAATGTCCAAGATGTAGTGATCCTACTGAATTAGGTACTTACTTAAGTGCAATGAGATGTTTAGGTGATGGCAACAACCCTTGTGATGGAATTCATTTACCACAAGATCCATTAGATGATGAAACAGACTGGTCTTGTAACAAATGTCCGGCTAAAGTTAGCAATTCTCAAATAAATATGGTCATATCACAAATGGGAGAGGACGTTGAAAATGTTCTGATGATGGGTGGCTCAGTAACTGTCTTAGAAAACCTTCTATTTAGACTGTCAACCTTTTTACATCCCAATCATTATCATATGTACACGATAAAGCACTCACTAGTACAATTGTATGGAAGGCAGCCTGGTTATACGTCGAAAGAGATTTTAGAAAAGAAAATTAAAATTTGTAGAGAACTTATAGCCGTGACTAAGACCTTGGATCCAGGAAACGCTAGGCTTAGTTTGTACAATAGTGTCTTACAACATGAACTGCATTCTGCTCTAGTCATGAAGTTCAAGAATGGTGTAAAGGATGACGAGGTTAAACCTTTACTAACTGAAGCTAAACTAGCAGTTGAAGATGCGTTGAACTCACTCAAAGATGACATGGAAGAAGTTTCAGGTAAAAAACTACAATCTGTTATTGAAGGTAGTAAACATGAATTTGAGAGGTTGTGTAAACAAAAGAATCTGGAGATTTGATTAACGTTATTTGTTATTAAATTGATTTTTATGTTTTTCATTGAATATTTTATTTTATTTTCCTTTTTACTAAACACATTAGTCCGGTTATAGTAATAATCTCAAGTAATGTGATTGACCAAATGATAAAAATTTTACTAGTGGTTTATGCACAACATTACATAACTACATAGTGAAAAGTGGATTATACATTGTAACATTAAGTGCTGTAATGTGCACCTCTGTCTACCCCTTCAGGGATGAGAGGCGTGATGTTATGTAGCCCAAGTGACAGTATGAAGCAACACTAGTTCTCAGTTTGCAGTTCGATTTATTTATTGTCACTCGATTGAAAGCTACTCAGTCCTTCGAGCCGCGAGTGACAGATACTCGTGTGTAGCTTTTTTGATTGCATCCAATAGTAGTTATTATTGTTTGAAATTTCGTGGTTTTGTACTAATAAGTTTGAGTGACAATATATCTTGGAATTTGGTGGATTCATGTAAGTATGAAATATCTTTTATCCAGCATTAGGTACTTAAATGGTAATAGTTTGTTGCTACCTTCCTCTTGTTTTTCACTTTTCTTCTCTATTTCAATTGTTCATGATGATTAGATCAAAAGAAGAACTTATATACGAAGTTATGTATCTCGATATTAAGAAACCGAACACTAAACTGAAGTGTGTGTAATGAAATACGAAAATAGAATGTAATTAATTACATTAGGGACAGAGCAAACAAAAGTTCAGTGTGACCTAAAATGTAATGATCGTAGTTTCATCTTAGATTGACAAAGATTTTCGGCCACATAAATTCCTAGACATAAAAAAAATGATATTGCCAGAAAGAATACCATTGTACCTAAAAGACCACAGCACAAGCCATTATACAATAGACATTTCTGAAACCTAATTAAAAGAAAAAGATCAGAAATTCTAATCAAACCTCGAACAAATACAGAGTAGACAATGCAACACCTCAAACAAATGCTACGTTAATTCCATTTGCATAATCAAAATAGATTTACGTGACAGTCAATGCTTGATCTGAATTACTGAACAGTATCATCGCAATGAGTGCAACAGAACATCAACTGTGTTGTTAAGACGACGTCTTGAGTGATGTCGTGCAATCTGGAGAGGTGCCAGAAGCAGTTTATTTGAAAACAAATTGTATATTGTGAAATCTGATTTGATTTGTTTAGAATTTTTCACATGTCATTATGTGTCATTTGTATGGGTAGTTTGAATTTTAGAATTTGGTCTTCTATAAATCTTTCCATAAATTAGGGCTTTTAGTGTTCTAGACTACCTCGTTGGCCGAGTGGTCGCAAGTGTAACTGCCGGTCAAGGGGTCTCGGGTTAGATTCTCGGGTCGGATCAAGTATTACTGGGTTTTAAAAAAATCTCAAAAGTAGCACGGTGTCTGGAATCCCGGTATATGGCAATAGGGTCACCCCGTATTACACGGGTCTCATAACATAAATCGTAAAAAGTGGGTGTTACAATATAGTGGCATTGAGAGCCGTAATGTGCACCCCTTCCTACCCCTTCGGGGATAAAAGGAATTAGGTTATGTAATGTTTTATTAGTATCTAATCAGTGTGTACAGAAAATGATCATCTGACTTAGCTACTAATAACTGCGCAAATTGAAGGTTCAATTCGCGGACTGAACAACTGTGATATGCAAATTATTGTTCAGTGTCTGGTAGAGATTTTTTATTTTTGGGTTAGCTCTGAATATCTGAATTGATGTATGTTTGAAAACAGAAACTTTTTTGAAAGTATTAATAACGATTGTAATTTATATGGCAAGACAATTACTGTAAAATCTGATAAACCTATTTATATCTTTCCAGAAATATGGATCACGAGAACGGTAACAGTGCACTGGCGTATAATTTGGTAAGCAAGAAAGATGTTATTATAATTTTATTCAGTAGCCCTTAAAGTACCTATCTAGAATTACATTTTTCGATCTACGAAATACTGTGGCGACCTCATTTGGTTTCTCCACTTACTTTTAAAGTGACACTCCCGTTTGCTCCAAGTGTTCCATCCAGTTCACGTATCTTAATTGCTCGAGTCATTCACAGATGTCACTGTATAGGTTGCTTCTTAGGAATAGTAGATGGCGTTAGTAGTTTTATATTTATTTCATTTTTATCAAAAATGAAATTTCTTATATGATACAAGATCATAATCTTCACATTCATCAGAATTATATTAAAGTTGGTTCCAATACTTTCTCTTTCCTTCATAAAAATACAAAGTTTCTTGGTAACGTCGTTAACTTTAATCACAATTTCAGGTTCAAACACCAGATGACGACGTTGGCAGACACCTCGTTGCATCTCGAGACCTCAATCCAGGAGACATAGTACTGATAGAAAGACCCTTAGTGTTTGGACCTAAAGCCATGCTGGATCCAGAAGTTGCTATGCCCTGTGTTGGATGTTACAAACCCGTCTTTACAGAATCAGGAGAAAGATGTACCATGTAAGTGTTAAATGGAGATTTCAAATCAACTCTTAAAAAGATGCTGAGCTATAAACCGCGTATTTGGAAAAGTAATAAGAACTAATCATCATGCGTGTTAGAGGGGGATTCGATGATTTACAAACAATATAACATAACATGACGGCTTTTATACCCGAAGGGGTAGGCAGAGGTGCACGCAGAAGTAACACCCACTTTTCACTATTTATGTTATGAGTCCCATGTAATAGAAGGTGACCCTATTGCCATATACCGGGCATATTTCCAGACTCCGTGCTACTACTAAGATTTTTTTTAAGATCCAGTAATACTTTGCCCGACTCGGGAATCGAAACAAAGACCCCTTGCCCGGTAGTCGCACTTGCGACCACTTGGCCGACGAAGCAGTCAAGTCAGTTTTTCGAGACTCAAACATATTTTTAGAAATCAATTATGGATGTAATTCTTTCAGTTCAGTTTAATTGTAAAAAAAATTAGTATACACTGAATTAATTACAGACTCATTGTTATTTATGAGAATTTTGGATTTATGAGAAGTTTAGATGTGCAGTTTCTGGAAAAATAAGCTTTAGTAGTAGTTTTATCCCTTTCTCTATTTACATTTGCAGGTGCGGCTGGCCCGTCTGCTCAGGCAATTGTCCAGGTCTAAAGGATCCAAGACATCATGGAGCTGAATGTGAAATCCTCAGCTTAAGACCCGAATGCGTTTTGAAAAACATGGCCGAATACTACAGGTTTGTTACTTCGTCTTTAATTACTGATTTTATAAATAGGAAGGCGTGTCGGAGCACTTTTACCAATTTAAAAAAATGAGAAAATAGTATGTTGTACTAATCTGGAGGCTATAGAGAGATATAAACCACTTTTAACTTGACTACAATAGCGAAATGTGTCTGCAACTGTAGCCAAATGCCATTTAGCGCTTGTCTACATGTAGAATAGACAACCAAATTAAATGGGATTGACGTAAATTTTGACACTTGTCAGTGTCATCCCCATACATTTAGTTTTCTGCTCCCTCTGTAGACAAGCGCTAAAGTGGCGTTTGGCTAAAGGCACTGGAATGACAGTAACATGTAAATGATGTCAGTACTAACAAGATATAAATAATTATTTTGGCGGAGAGGTATATGTTCAACAAAGAAGACTGTGTTATCGTTTAAAGAAATGTTAATTATTATGTTTTCGGCTTACCCACGTAACTATTTGACGAGGAACTCGACTAGTTTTGAGCCATACTAGAGGCTCACATTCATGAGCAGCATTCCGTGACCCGTGACGCGGTGACTGTCGCGCTGCTACTGACTGCTTGAGTCTGCTGCGGTAATAATAATTTAATTAGTTTGTCTAACGAAAGTTCTAATATAAGTTTAGAAATGTTAAATTTTGACAATGGTAAAAAAGGTAAGACAAAGTCACTCACTAAAGATGATAACCCAGCTCCCAAACAAAGGTTGGATAATCACCGAAACTATTATTACCGGTTCGGTTACCAAGTTAAATGGACTTGGAATCAAGTCTGGAGAATCTATCTCCATTAGTAGATTTCTTTTATGAATTCCAAAGACATTTCGTTATATAACTAAAGTAGGCTTTTAACTTTCTCTGGGCACAATCAAAGAAAATAATTAAGTACCTATAGCTTCTGTTAGTAAGATCTTTTTTCTACTTACTTACTTATCTGTCTAGACAGTAAATTAAAAACCCTTCCATCCTTTATGGTCTACAAAATACTTTGCCCAATAATGGTGACCGAAATTAAGAAATGGAATCAGCTATACTAATACTAGCACTACTATTACTACTAGTATTAGGATAGTCGATTTCATTTCTTAATATCGACAAGTATACACTTGTCGCAAAAGAATTGTCGATTGTGAAACCCACAGACGCAGTTTAGAAATATTTTCTACATTGTAATAGAAGTAAGCGACAAAAATAAACAGTTAATTTTAATAAAAGATTCTACCTCTAAATAGGTTTGGTGAAATAAGTGAATATTGGAAAATTAGGTTGAAATTGATATAAATGTTATCATTCAACACAAAAAAAAGTTTTTTTAAGCAAATGTTTTTTACTAAAGATTTACTTTTTCAGACATGATGCCCTAATGCCATTAAGATGTGCATTACTCCAGAAGACAGATCCTGAAGGTTGGAAGCAACTCCTGGATTTGCAGTCACACATGGAGTGCCGACCACCTGGAAGCGAGGCTTATGAGTATGTATAAAATATATACATAACATACACGTATCGGTATACGTAGTCGGTGGCGCTGAAATAGTTGATCGGACCGATTGCTGGCCTACACGTTATACCCGTGAACGGGTGCCTTCTGCTGGAGCAGATTGGCTCGCTCATCAGATCCAGTAGAGTTAGTGTAGGATAATAAGATTATGATAATTATATAGGTGACCACATCAAGTACTTTGAAGTGATATTAATGGTTAGTGTAGCATGTAAGATCTTTATAACAATCATTTGACTAGGAAAACTATGTAACTGTAATATGGCAAGGGCATGGACACAAGTCTGTGGGGAAATACAATTAATATATAAAAAAACTTACATGTAGAGCCGTTGGACCTGGTCTCTCTCCGGTCCCGTCGGTCTGCTGCGGTTGCAGAGAGTGAGGGAACAGAGAGTACACGTCTTGTCTTAGCGCATATACTTGTGCACTACTTCTACTACAATATCTCAGGCGTAGTAGGCTAATCCAGTTAGATTAACTACTATGGTCTAAATCGATCGGGGGATTTTTACTGTACTTAATACAGTAGAAATTACTCCGACACTCGTGAATACACTTACAAAATACTCAATCGTACTTTTATCATCGACAGCCTATTTTCGTCCACTGCTGAACATAAGCCTCTTTAATGGTACGCCACTAAGCTCGATCTTCAACTCTACGCATCCACTACCAGCCAGTTTACGTATATCGTCACTCCACCTAGCTGGAAGGCGCCCTAAACTACGCCTAGACGCGGTCTCCACTATAGAACACGTCTATCCCAATCGTACTTTGCTTCACTCTATTTCTATCTATATTAAATGTCCATTACTGAATCCATCATGTAGTGGTCGAATGAGCGAGTCTTAGAACCCCACGACAAACAAGGTAGGTTTCTAAAATGGTCTTTTAAATGAATGAAATGAGGTACAATGTACAAACAAATACATCCAACAAGTCCCTTTCCAATTTGCCCCAAACTTTGGACCCTTTGAAGGTTTTCAACGTGAAAACAAAAAAGGAAACACGTTTCCCTTTTTCTCTTAAAATTTTTGGGTCGCGGAAATGTCCGTTTAGCTGGGATGTCTGAAAAATCCTTTCATTCATTTGTTTTCGAAACAAAAAATAAAAAAGAACTAGTTCGTTTCAAAAAGGTAACTGTATCATTTGTCGAGGATATATAATAATTATAATTTAATTATGTTTTTATTTCAATACCACTAAGTAAGAACAATGCATACTGGAAAGTCGAAAAGTGTTAGAGAGTCATGCTTCGGCACGAATAGGCCGGCTCGACCGGAATGATACCACGGCCGCACAGAAAACCGATGTGAAGCAACGCTCGCATTGTATTTCATCATGTGAGTGAGGTTACCGGAGGCACAATCACTACCCCCTCCTTTCTTAATTCCTGAATCCCCAACAATCCTCAAATTCCTGATCCCAAAAGGCTGGCAACTCCTGTGTTGATCCATGTGTCCACGGGCAAAAAAGACAAACATCACGCACTGCAAAGATTAGCTTCTGGTATCACTAGTTTAGTTCTACCTTAATAGTGTTATTGGTTTTGTCCAATAAACAACTAAGAATAATATTTTATAATATAGTTCGAAATTAGTAGCAGCAAACTACAAATATTATCTTCCAACTGTTTAATTAAGACTATGTAAATGGACCTAATAACCTACTATTTAAGAATGAAAACAATCAAAATCGGACCCATTTCTTTTTAGCCTCCATTGGAATTCTTTTATTTATTTAACAGGAAGTTTAATCATCGTCCATTTCGAAAAGCTGTTTACACTTCCACTGAATACTATCAAACGAAAAGAGGAAAACGTGTTTTTATGAGAATTGAGGAATTGATTGAAAGAGTCTAAAGAGGTTTCAATTATTTTCGAAATTTCTTTAAAATCATTAAATTTTTGTTTCTGAAAATTTTATTAAATGACATCTTTATTCCAGTTCTTTAATATCTTCTGAACTTCAAAGAATCTTTTGTTTGCGAGTTCATGAACATTGTAAATTGTTCTTTACTAACAATATGACAGATGACTCGGCTATCAAAAGACCGTAGGTAAACAAAACCTCGATTCGAAAACTTAATACTGAATTCCAAAACTTTCTAAGTAATTAAGTCGAAGGATAGAATATTCCAATTTGAAATTAAGTCTTTATAGCATCATAAAACTAATTCCATCTTTGTAATTCCAGGGAGGCCAACGAATTCATCGTCGAATATCTAATTAACAACTTTATAAACAAGATGGATGAAAAATTAAGAAAATCGTACGAAATAACTTCGGAATTACTTCATGGAATTTGTGGAATTATCGACACGAATGCTTTGGAGATTCGTCTGCCGCAAGGAACTGAACTTAGCGCTTTGTACGCTGTAACTTGTAAGATGGAACATAGTTGCATGCCTAACACGAAGCATACATCTTTTGCATTTAATCCTAAAGATAGGAAAGACTTATACGAAATAACAATCAAAGCTGTTGTTCCCATAATAAAAAACTATCACATAGCTACAATGTACAGTCACGCATTATGGGGAACGCAAGCAAGGAGACAACACTTGAAAGACTCGAAATATTTTGCCTGCAAATGTCCAAGATGTAGCGATCCTACTGAACTTGGAACTTATCTAAGTGCTATGAAATGTTTAGGTGATGAAAACAAACCTTGTGATGGTATTCATTTACCAGAAGATCCTTTGGATGATGAAACTGATTGGGTATGTAGTAAATGTCCAGTTAGAGTCAGCAGTTCTCAAGTGAATATGATTATGTCTCAAATGGGAGAAGATGTTGAAGCAGTTCTAATGATGGATGGCTCCGTGACGATACTAGAGAATCTGCTTTGTAGACTGACAATGTTCCTACATCCTAATCATTACTATATGTATTCATTGAAGCATTCTCTAGTACAATTATACGGAAGAGAACAAGGCTATACGTCAATGGATATTCTTGATAAGAAAATCAAAATGTGTAGAGAACTAATTTCTGTTACAAAGGCTTTGGATCCAGGCAATGCTAGGCTGAGTTTGTATAACACTGTTCTGCAGCATGAGCTACATTCAGCATTGGTTATGAAGTGTAAAAATATGGTTGTTCCAAAGACAGAAGATATGAAACCCTTGCTGGTTGAAGCTAAATTGGCTATAGAAGATGCCTTAAAATCGGTTAAAGATGATTTGGAAGAAGTTTCTGGAAAAAGACTACAGTCTGTACTAGATGACAGTAGAAGGGAATTTGATAAGTTTTGTAAGCAAAAGAAAATAGTAGTTTGATTACTTCTTTATTGATTCTTTCTTGTTAATTCTATCTTAAACTATATCACAGTGGTTTCTTTGATGTTAGTACGCATCCTATGATGCTAGTTTGTTACTTATTACAATAAAAAAATACTCAATATATTTGCCTTAGCTAATAAAATCTGCTTTGAACTAATTACTATTTTAAAGAAGTACTTTTTAAGAAGCATTTTGGTTATTATTAATCTAGTTTATAAATTGTACTATCTATTTTAATTTCAAATTTACTCACAGCTCATTGTTAATCTACACATAATGTAAAGCTACTATATGCTTGAATCGTATACATATGTAAATTCATAAAAGTGTTTCACTTGATCACCTTTATTTTAATAATTTTCCGTCCCTGTGATAAAACTATGAACAAATAAATTCTTAGCTAATCTTTTTACAACTAACATTGCACACTTGCACTTTGTTGTGATCTAGACAAAGCACTATTTATTAGAAATCTTCTCTTGGGTGCTTTTACTCTGTGGGCATTTATAATTTTTAAGAAATTCATACGAGGCCGTGCGTACGTGTCTCATCTTGACAATTCTTCAAAATTTCTTATCAAATCTTTACCATTTACATCTCCTCCATTATTATCTTCATCTTCGTCCAAAAAAGCTGCTAAAACGTGGGTACCAATTTAACCCACTTCTTGCTGTATCTCCATTGATGCTTTGTACTATCCAGTCCGTGTATCTAGATATTCTGGTGTAAACTCCAGGCATCCTGGGTCTAGCACACCCACTGCCAGTGGAAACTACTCCTACAACCATCACGTGACGTCTGTCATCCCTGACCATGAGGGGGCCACCGCTGTCAGCCTGTGGGTGGAAAAGTCATACTGTTGTTCATTTATATCAATATCAATATTAATATCAATATTTTGATCTACAGTAAAGATTTAGTTATGTGGTGACTGTTATTATATCTACAATAAGTCATAGGCATTTATTTCAATTAGACGTGGAAGACACTTTTTGAACGTCAATAATAATGATGTGTCAGTCTGTTGGTCAGTCCTCTAATGAAGCTATTTGCCTCATTCCAACGTGTAGAATCCTATGGAGAAGAACGAGCAAGAAACTCCATAGGCTACATTATTTTCAATCAGGTTCACAATATTATTGTTTATTTACATCGTTTCCTTGGTTCAATTATGTGAAAACAAAGTACACCAATATCCAGTCAGATATCGAAAAAGTAGGTGTATAATCATCATCTTTCCATGATGTTATTCTTGTAATTTTAATGAATGCAGCATGTATGATACTCCGATACTCACCCAGCAAGAATCCCGGCCCCCAACTTCATGTCCAGCACACATTTGGGTGGGAATGACCTTGATCTTGCTGCCCTGCGACCTGTACCAGCTGTTACACTCATCATTCGTCACTACTGTCACTTCTGTCTTCTGTAATATGCTGGGTCTTGACCCTTAAAGAAGATGAAGATACTTTTAGTTAAAGACCAAGTCGCCAACAAATACCCTATGATAAAATGTAAAATAATACAGCAGTCGTTATATTTAAAATACGTTGGATTTGGCATTATCTTCTGATGATGTTGCACCATAACATGTGATGGAATTTGACCATCATTGACAGTAAAAGTGGAATAGTTTTAATGGGCACTTGTCTCAGTATCATGATTAGAGTATCTAACTAACAGGTTTTCAATAATGTCCTTACAGATATCATTGTATAATACAATTTCATAAAGTGTTATTATCTAATCACCTAACCTATTGAGAATCAAGTAGTCAGTAAAATATTTCTGTAGTTTCGAATCAAACAAACTTGATACTTAATTCAGGATATTTTACTTTTTTTTGCCAATCCCATCACAACCTCCCAAAACCGCTGCAACTTCGGTAAGCTGCAGGATCTACATTATATACACAACCATGAAAACACCGGAACACGACGCGTCTCATTGACATGAATAACTGTCTCGGATTCCGCAACGAAATAAATAAGAAGATATTAATGAAGAGAAAGAAGATATTATAAAAAAGAGATGAGAAGAAAAAAGAACGATACTTTCCACTTCCCTTGGTGAATTAAGAGCAGTAGCAAGAGACAGAATGACTTTAGCCAAAAGTTATTAATTTGATATCTATTTTGAAACAAACTTCATGAAGTGTTATTATCTAATCACCTAACTTAACGAGAATTACGGGAGAATTAATTAATTAGCTTCAATTTCAATTTCAAAATCGAACAAAGTTGATGCTAAATTGACAATATGCGTTGACTCGTTACCTCTAGCTGCTATTAGCTCTACCTGCTAGCTCTATTTATCTCTATATTCAAGTAGATTCTTACCTTTCTCTCTATCCTCATGAGTAAATCCCCAGCCAGCAACAGTAGCTGACGTTCCACTAAAGTCCTGGGCAGGGGAGTTGGGCAGACAGGCTGGTTGGAGACCAGTTGACCAGCGTAGTTGTCGAGCTGTCTTCAGAAGAGCTACATCATTGGACTTCTTGTTACATCTGGAACAGATACAAAAAGTTGATTGTAGACAATAGCTTAACCGCTGTTAAATTACCAAATTTTTTATTGTGTATTTTACTATCTTCGGAGTGTTCATCAATACCAAAACGTATTTGACTCGATTCAATGACTGAGAATAAAATATTTGAAATGTTATGAAACAATATATTTACGGTTCATTGCACAAAACTATAAATAGATTTCTACGATACTAAAATATGACTGCATTTCTATCATCAAACAAAACCCAATATAGTACCTATCAATTCATCTGTCTACATATTTTCTAAAAATACTTTATAACAATATAATATAAAGATAATTACAATAAACCGAGACGATAACACATCAAGGGTTTTATCAAAGACACGTCAAAACTTGAAACTGATATTCAGGTACTTAGACAATATTGTTCATGCTTACTTGCAAATGTGTTTTTAATTATAATAAGACAAAGTCATCTTTGAAATGGAAAGATAATTAATGAGTTAAAACAATCAACTGAAAGAGTTTTAGGGTGAAAGACACAAGTTTATGAACTTCTAGTCATTGTAGTCAAGGTTTTTTGAAGGGCAATAACTCGCCAAGAAAGCCTTTGTATGGATGGACCTGAGTTTGAACATAAAGAACGCTTTTCTTTATGTACCTTTAAAATGAAAGATACTATGAAGTAAAAACATGAATCAATAAATTGAATGTAGACGTAGTTATTAACTAGAGATATTCGAGAAAATTATTATATTACAAAGTTTAGCTAAAAAATGAAACTGGGAAACCCTTTTACGTAGGATTTTGGAACCGGAAAATGCAGATTCTTTCCAAAAATTCCATCCAAAGGTTGCCTGGAATAAAACGCCGCGTGTGATAAGACCGCCCATTGTACTCAAGTTACTATTGCAATTGTTTACAATTTTTTTTCTGTATGTGGAATAAAGTATAAGCAAATAAAAGCAGTAATAGATATCCTTTTACAATGGCAATGGAGAAGGAGACTTACCTATAATCTGGATGAGGTATGATTCTGGTAACAGGTTGATTTTCATCCTTGACGGAGATATCGGTGTAACCAACTACAACTGAAAGTTGCTTTGACTTGTAGAACTCATCGAACACACTGAAAATTATTCGTAAGTAATGAATTACAGTTTTATTGATGAATGATGTGCAATATGTAGACAAGTCTAGCTCATAAAAATAGTAGAGTAGTTTCATAAAAATAGAAATAATGTTATTCTTGACATTAAACAAAAATATTTTATTACACTTCTATAATGCGATCTGTTGCCAATGGGACATTAAGCAGTAGGTTTGCCTATAAATAAGGGCGTGTTCAGGGTAGCGACCTATGTTACATCCTTTTTAATATGTGTGTGTGTGTCGAAAATATACAAAAATACATTTAATCACCGAAAATTTTTAACAGCCAAAGAAGTAAATATTAATTTTCTGGATTGAATTATCAGAAAACAAATGAAACAGTCCTCAAGATCCCTAATCATAGTAGAACTAGATCTCCATACCTGCAAACACAATGTCCAGCAGTCAGCAGCCACCTATCATTGAGCACGGTGGCTCCACACTGATGAGCACCCTGTCTCCACACGCTGGCTGCCCAGGGGAACTCCGCAGGCAGGCTGTCCACCCCGCCCACTATACGGGCACTGCGAGCCACGTCGATACCGCATTCTACGTCCGCCACTAGAGGAAGAAATAGGACCCCTTATATATTGAAGCTAAACAAATTACGTCATCTATCTCCGGCCGTTCTCTCATGACTGAAGATCGTGATCATCCTGGAAAAACTCAGGATTGGACGAATCGTCTCCATCGGTTTCTGTATTGTGATGTAGAACCTCGATTCTGAGTTGTCCTTTAGCTGATCAGACCATCTTGATGGAGATCGTCCTCAACCAGAATCACGTCATAATATGTATGAAGAAGATATTTTTACATATTCAAAAAAGTACAACGCGACAATGCTTGTACACAATCTAAGATCAATTTTTCATTAGTTTTGTTATGAGTTTCAACGAATAAATGGATGATACTATTGTCAAACAGTTATTTTTATTGTAAAACAAGGTTGCGTATGGGACGACGTGCATCATCGTAGGCCAGATCATCGCTTACCACCAGGCGAGATAGTGGTCAAGCGTCGGCCTATCAAATATATATAAAAAATGGAATGTTTCCGAAAAACGCCGACAGATAATGGTGAAAAAACAAGTTACATTTTCACAAACTTTGAGCCGCCGAAAAATTTGTTCTTACCTTTTACAACTTTCTTGGACCTGAACATTTCAAGACCAAAATTAGTCCAATCGGTCAAAGTCAACGCATTTATTTCAATCAAACCATAATTTGGTACTTTTGAAACGTCAAAAAATAATACAAAATAAATAGTCTGTCAGTCAGTCCATCAGTGAAGCTAGGTGAAGCTAGGTTAAGCTAGGTGCTTATTCTAAAATGTAGATTCGAATGAAGAAGAACGAGCA